TACACTCACAGGCCACTTTATTAGGTACACCTATCCAACTCCACTTTAGTGCAAATTCATACAGGTAATCATCACATGGCAGCAACTCAATGCATTTAGGCATGTAGACATGGTCAAGACGATCTTCTGCAGTTCAAACCGAGCATCAGAATGGGGATGAAAGGTGATTTAAGTGACTTTGAACGTGGTTGTTGGTGCCAGACGTGCTGGGTGTTTCAGAAACTTCTGATCTACTGATATTTTCACACACAACTATCTTTTGGGTTTACAGAGAATGGTCCGAAAAAGAGAAAATATCCAGTGATGATGCCAGAGGTCAAAGGTGAATGGCCAGACTGGTTTGAACTGATAGAAAGGCAGCAGTAACTTAAATAACCACAAATGACCACAGTGTACCCATCTTCTGATGGCTACTTCCAGCAGGATAAAACACCTTGTCATAAAGCTCAAATCATGACAGACTGGCCACGTCGCGGCCCACCACTGTTTCTCTCCCTGTTGTCCCGTATTTCTCTCCCGGATTTTGTTTGTGTGTTCACCTGTGCTCCTGAGTCCTTCATTACAGGAAGATAAATATCTTGAACCGAGAATAGTGAGCTATACATCAAAACATAATGAAGCAACAATGTTTGCCTACGCCTCTAATAATGATATAATAAACCTGTGCGCCTTATTGCGCTTGTTTTATTTTATTTTGGGCACCCTTGCACGGGTGTTGGTCTATTTCTCTTTCTTAAATTATTATAACATTTTCGGAGCGCGTAACCACCTCTACTTGCCACAAATAGTGCACAGAAACATCTGTGCAGAGTATGGGCTGGAAACCCCAAGGTCTGGAAACTCCTCCAAAGGTGGTGGGGAATGAGCGTACGAAGATCCTGTGGGACTTCCAGATACAGACCGACCAAATGGTAATGACGAACCAACCTGACATTGTGGTGATAGACAAAGGGCAGAAGAAAGCCGTGGTGGTAGACGGCCAATTTAAAGCGATGGTAACCTTTGTGCCATAAAGGTGACAGTAGTACCTGTGGTGATCGGTGCACTCAGTGCAGTGACCCCGAAGCTGGAGGAGTGGTCACAGCGGATCCCTGGAATCTCGGAAATTTCGGCCCAGAACCCTCAAGCTCCCAGGCCTCTGGTAGAGGACCCAAGCTTAGAGAAGGATAATCGACCGCGGAGGGCCAAAGGTATGGTTTTTAAAAAGATATATATATATACTGTATTTAGAGCATAGTAGCACTGGGAAGGACTGTGTGTGTCAGAAATGTTGCCACAGGGATAACAGGCTTGTGGTGGCCAAGCGTTCATGCTGGTGACAAGCCGGCGTCGAAGGATATTTATTTTTGAAATTCTACATATATATATATATATATATATATATATATATATAATATATATATATATATATATATATATATAAAATATCAAAATAATTACCAATAATAAACATCATCAGTCATGACCCCCATTATGTCTATTATCTGGATCATATGCATTTTTATACGAGTGATGGATGGAATATGAAGGAGTCATCATTTCTATTTCCATAGGCCCATATCAAATGGATATCTAATTATGAGCATAATGCAAGCATCAAAATATGCATTAATTCTACTCACCGGGGCCAGCACATTTGTAAAATTCAATCAGTTCAATGGCGTATCACTAATGAATAAAACTGTGGATTGCAGGATAATTTAAGGAGTCAGCCGTATGGATATCTTAGATTCAATACAGAAACATTTAATGAAAAATATATTTGTCCATATTAATCGGCAAAAGAAATCCACAGGGAGTGAGGCAAAGGAGGAAGAGGAAAATCATATAAAAATGCAAATAGATTGGCTGGATTTCTAGTCCACAGTCTTAAGAGCTGATGTTTATGCAAAGACAGTGTCTATTCAACAGGAAGTCACTACAAGGTCATGGCCATCTGTGATAGGACAGGGGTGAACAACGAGTATCCACACAAGCACTCAGGGATTATCCAAAACATTATAACAAAAGGTAAAGGGCTGTCAAATATGTTTAACTGCACATGAAACTGTTAATCTAACCATAAAAGCTATATCAAAGTTATATTCTCACACAACTTCTCAAACGTGTGGTGCTCCCTGTATGAAAGGAGCTAAGTAGGGCAGGGCCTGGTCAAGACTGTGATGGGAGTGTGTGTGTGTGTGTGTGTGTGTTTGTGTGTGTGTGTTTTTGTGGAAATGTTCTCAATGATCCATGGAAACTGCAGCTGTATTTTGTGTAGTATAAAAAGAACACAGAGAAAGCTTCTGCAGGCCGCTCCTCAGACCCTGCATCAATCGTCTGAAGCAAATGGGATCCACCTAAGATTTCTCACAAAGGTGGTCAAGGGGGGGTCAAAGGTACAGAGGCGGTGGGCGCAGGAAGAGGACAAATACCTTTGTGCCATAAAACAGAGTCCCCTAAACCGTTTATTAACCATTAAAATGACTCCCTACGCTTTAGTAGTAGTGTATGATTGCTCTTTGTAACTCCTGTCGCTTTTGGAGACCATTTTATCGTCCCCTTTCTTCTAAATTCACATTAATAAAAACATATCATTTCAAATATAAAGATCTGATGTAACAGACATTTTGATCCAGGGTGTCCATACTTGTTTGTCGTTGCAATTTCACTCCATCCTTATTGCCCACACTTCCACTGTAGCAAAGGATTTATGAATGTGAAATATTCAATGTTGCCATTCGAAATAACAGTTTCTAGGTTGAACTCATTTTAATTAAATGTAATTGTAAACGCACATTTATTCTACTACATGCTTCACATTCTAAGCCAGAGCATCCTCATATCTCACGGCTAAAAGCAACGGGTCATGTGCGACAGGAGGCCGATCAGTGACAGGGATACAAACGAGGCGTTAATGAGAACAGAAGGCTCAGGTCTACAGTTTTGTGAGGGAAAAAAATAGCGACGCATCACCACCAACTAAATCGAATGCCCTCCTTTAGATTTCTCTATGGAATTGCACAACACTTTCTTGCGAGGAGACAGTTTTTGCATGAGAAAAGTGATTAGATGGTTTCACGGCTGGCAGGAAGAATAAAGTAATCTTATAAATCTAAAATGACTTGTTCTTGAAGGAGTCTGTTTGTGACAGCTGTGATGAAGGTAGAGTTGTGTTGAATTAAACATCAAAGACAAAATCGCCTTGACGGAGCGTTTTAGAAATTCATCTGATGAGCTTCCAAAGCACTGATTCACATTGCGTCTGTGTACCAGTGTGAAGACTTTCGAACGTTTAACATTGTTTGCATGAAATATAGATTATTGATTTCAAAAGTATTCCATTCCAGTAACAGCATCATGCAGTAGATTTTCTATTTTGAGTTCCAGTTCCTGTGTTGACTGCCTGCCCCGCCCAATGTGTTTCACATGTGTGTTGTCAGTACATTGACCACGCCAATTTTTGTTCCTGGCTTGTTTTTCTTTTTGGTTAGCGGACCCCCAGGGGCGTTTCTTCTGTACGTATTAGTATTCCACATCTTTCGTCACCGTTCCGTTCTGACCTCTGGACCAATTGCGGTGGGTTGAAGCTCATCTAGAACTCCATCCATCCATCCATCCATTTTCTTCCCCTTAATCCATTTCTGGGTCGGGGGGGGGCGGCAGTCAGAACTGCACCCAGTACACATAGCACCAGCCCGTACACATAGCACCAGCCCTAGAAAAATCATCTAGAACTCCCTATAGTAAAACAAGGGTACCTACATTTTCCCCTGCATTCATGATTTATGTTGCTTGTGCCCAAGTTTGTGCCCAACAGTAACATTTTTTTTTTAGAACAAATCAGACCCCAACATGCAGTCATTTCAAAAGTGTGTGTACGATAGTGTAAGAGTAGAGTGCAATGATGGCAGGATTAGTTAACCCTTTAACGTTCACTCCTTGAATAAAGCAATGCAGTTTTTTCTTTTTTGGTTTTTCCAAGATATAGGAGCACTAAGGCCTAAGACTAGACCTTCACCAAAGGGTTGAGATTCATCCATCCATCCATCCATTTTCTACCCTTTAATCCAGGGGGGTGGCAATCAGAGATACCACCCAAGTCTCATAGCACCAGCCCCTCACTGACCCTCTGCAGGTGGTGAGTCCACAGGAGGACGGCTGCTCTCTGAGTGTGAGCATAGCCTTGATCTTTCAGTGGGGGCTTTGGGCAAAGTGGGGTTAAGTGTCTTGCCCGAGGACACAACGACAGCAGTCATCAGTGGGAGTCGGTTGAGAAGGTGTAGAGGTGGGAATTGAACCCACAACCTTCTGGCCTGAAGGCCAATGCTCTACCAACTGAGCTACTGTCGCCCCGGTTGAGATTCAGTTTGATGATGAAAGTGCCCAGAACCAAGTGAGATGCCCCAAACAGTGTAGATCACTCATTTCAATGAGTGATCTACCAAATGGTTGAGGAAACCATTAACACACCTCTCCAGATTGTAGTTTTATTACTTCCATCCGTTGTCCCACAGTCGCACTCACAGACACTCGTGCACTCTGAAATATTGTCCACTGTTTTTAGGGTTTGGGGAAACTGGAGCACCTGGTGGAAAAACATGCAGACCGGACCAACTCCGCAGATGAAAGTATCTCAATTTATTTGGGATTAGCCCTAAATCACAACAGCAGTTATCTCAAAAGACCAAACTGTCAAATAATTAGAACAGGAAATGTAATAATAAGACACACATAGAAGCCATTGATCCACATGATAGGCCTGGGAATGGAACATGAGATTTTTCTAATTAAATACATAAATAAAACCCATCCAGATTAGTAATTTGACCTGACATTTGAGGCATCTTTACAGTGTTTGATGCGTCTTATTTCAAGCTCCCTTTTTACTTTATTTAGGTCAGGATATGCAATACAGAGTTAGTCCAATTGAAGTGAACTTTGATACACTGCGGAATAATTATGCTTCATTTGTCTGGATGGGGAAGCTCTACAATGGGTAAGATGGTACATTATTCACCTCAGTCAGCACACTTCCTCTAACACAGATCAGTCCACACCATTAAGAGTGTATATGTTGAAAGGTCGACTGGACTTAGCGGCTGTATGGTGTCAGGTTACTGCTGATGTGTGTGTGTGTTGTTGCCTTCCTTTGGACACCTCGCCCACAGACGCAGGAGAATCACTGCAGAATTTACAGCGTTGCTTAATTTGCTCCTGTGTATATGTGCTGAGCAGCCAGGACCAGCCGCGTACCGTGTGTGGAACTAGGCGCTGCCAAACCGCATAGGCCAGAGAATATTGATGAAGCTCTCATTTGAGCAGACTCACACAAACTGAAAAGACAGACAGACGCTTCCAGAATGACAATGGTTAATTTCACTTCAAAAAATGATTCCTTAAAAATTAGGTAAACATTTCTTGATTTGAGTACATTTTAATGTAGATGTAACAAGATTTTCCATTAGGACAAGCTGCAAGTGCACTTGCAATTTATCTCATTCAAAGGTCAATTTGTATTGAATGTTCTAGTCTCTTTTATCATCAGTTTTGCTTGACCCATTAGCGAATCGTATTTTAAGACGGTCTAAATGGACTGAAAATGAGAAAAAATTTGCTCAATTAATGCAGTTGCATTTGTTGCTTTTTGCAGTTTAGTTAGTTAGATAGTTAGTTAGTCATACAGTAAAGTCAGAAGATAATTTATTGAACTCAAAAATAGGCACAGCAGTGGGTGAAGATAGGGGGTTTGAAAACAGATATTTCACAAGTATATACTGTATGAATATAACTTTGCGTCAAATGGCTTGTAGAAGCCATTAAAAACCTGTTGTTTTGAGGATTCTATTCATGTTATTGTATTTGTGTATAGCTTTTCCTTTCTGGGATAAACTTTTTAATAGCAATCTGTTTTCTATAGTCAGTGATAGAATGGGTGGGAATCAATAAGTGTCCAACCTCATCCCTCTCCCTTTCAAATAGAAATGAATTTTCTTTGCTTTAAGACCAGTGGGCCTCATTCACGAATAACTTCGTAAGAAACTACTCAACTTTCTTCTCAAGTTGTCCTTAAGTAGATTTCTAAGAAGTCCCCATGTGGGATTCATCAACGCGCTCGTAAGCCGCTGAATTGTTCACAGCTGTTCTCTCAGATTGATGAATCCCATTTCCTCGTAAGTACAGCGCGCGTGCCAGGTGCTTCATTAGCAACCGCCCATTAATGCCCATATAAGGGGATGCAGGGCCGTGTGCAGACGGCTGAGGAAACCAATATCGTCCAGCTGCAGCCAGAAACACAAGAACGCCCCAACACACAAGAACGCCCCCAAACATCCGTTCTTCACAAACATTTCAAAATAAGGGTTGTCACCGCTATATTGCTATATTGGGGGGGGGGGGGGGGGTACATTATCAAAGGTTAATACAACCTCTGATAATGTATTAAATTATGATTTTGTACAGCATTATTTCACTGACTCTGATTTAAGCGTGGAATGCTTTTTAAATTGAATGTAACAAATTGAACATTTTTAAAGACACAAAAACCAGGGGCTGTGCATATATTATATTCATTTTCATATTAAATTGAAAATTGGATTAAGCAAGTAACTTGAAATAGCAAATAATTTCTTCCAAACCTCCAGTCTCTGCTATTATTTTGTATTCTACAGAACTTCTACAGGTAAATGATGAATGACTAATGCGGTTTAATGCCCCAAGGAAACCCTGTTTGCATAGTTTATGTATAAATATTATATTTATGTTCAATTTAACTTCATCAAACATACATACTTTTACAATTGACCTTATTTTAACCAAAACTCGAATAGATCTAACTTGTTAAAAAAAGAAAAAAAGAGGGCGCTTCATGGACCACCAGTCAGTAAAAAAATGGTGGGTTTTGGTGAAGGGATAGTCAATGTATAAATACAGAACCAAGGCACTCTCTCAAAAATGGATTACAATGCCTTTATTGGGTATGGTAATCACTTTTTATTGAACAAAAACTGGAAACTCAATATCCTCAATGGCATATTTTCCATGGCCTTTAAAGTGAAGAACAACAAATGCCTCCTTCCAGTTTTTTTCGGAAGAAAACAGTTGAGCCAGTCGCAGACTAAGACCGCTGCTCTGACCTGCCACCGTGCAAATTTTTCCAATCTTAATTTGAACCACATTTCTTTTAAGTTTAAGGCTCTCTGCTATGTAGTTGTTCAAATGGATCACAGGAGTGTATTGCTGAGCCATGGATCGAAACATTTTAGACACCCTGTTTATAGACTCCAACATTGCCATGTTTGTTTCCAGGGTCATTCTAATAATAATGTCCCATATTTCGGGAGGGAGATGTGGCTCCTCCCGGCTCTCCTCCCGGCTCTCCTCCCGGCTCTCCTCCCGCTCCTTGAGCACAGCTGGTGGTACCACTGGTCCGCCAGAGTTGCTGAGAGATTGAAAGTATAGAATATTGTACCAACAAGTATAAATAAATCACAAATTATGGACACAATGACATACCTGTCAGGGATGTTCTGCAGCAGCTGCCCACACCACCACCTTCTGATTGTCATCATGTCATCCTGAACATTTACATAACCAAGTTAAACACTTGACATTTCATATCATTACCATGGTCATCGTTTACTAGTGACCAATGACAGACAAAAGCTGCAAGTAAATATACAGGACCTACTGAATAATTACATAACTTAATTTACCGGGAAGAGTACAATAAATAGGAATCAAATTTCAGTTGAAATCACTGACCTCACCAAAGTCATGGATCTTTTCAAGGACAGCATACAAAGCATACTGAAATACAGACAAAGGTTTATCTATCATAACTAATCAAAAGTGATATTTTGGCGTCAAGCTATAACTCACCATCAACATGAAAACGCCGCAGTTGTTGCTTAAGTGCTGATATGAGGCCCCCTGTAAATATAATATTGCATGATAAATAATGATCACCACATGGCAATCACTCTCTGGAGGATGGGCTCCAAATTGTTAAGTACTTTGTGTTATATTCTTGTATAAAAAGTGCTTTATAAGCTCATTAAAGCTCCAGTGTCAGACACCTAAAATTTACCTCACAGTCTGCCAACAAGTAGCCAGTCCACTCCTCTCTGGCCACAGCAAGTGCGAGGTTACTAGGATAAAAATATAAATAAATAAGCAGTACTGTGCAGTAGCCTGTGAAATGTAACATGGAGTCGCAACAAGGAATTGCCAATATTCCAAGATAAGCCCCCCCAAACAATTAGTGTATATAACCATATAAATAAACTAGTCTGGGAGTAACAGCAATTCCTAATAGAGACTTCATACATTTGTATCGAACACAAGAAAAAAAAGAAAAAAAAAAGGAGGTATAGTCTAAAACAGAACCACCATACTTCCTGAGATCAACTCAGTTCTAGAAGCAGTATTTTGCAACTACAAGCCATAATTGTATGATTTATTTATTATTCTATGTATTCCCACACTACAATACGTTACCGATTACTGTAATGTATTACAATTAAGCTGGCCAGCTGAATAAAAAAAGGACTGAAAAGCCATTCCCGTCAGTGTACTGTTCACCTAGACAACTCAGAGGTGTGAAGTAATCACTTACAAGTAAAGTAGTTTTATGGCTCATTGCTCCTTCTAAGTATTCTATGAAATATGAATTTCCTCAATTAGGCATAGAATTTTGTTACAAGTTTAATGACAATAGCTTTATATTGATGTGAAAACATTTAAATGAAACATAAAAATAAATCTGCCTAGGGTGTTGGGGACTTACTTCCCACCTCTAATAACACACAACAATGCCAGCTTACTTCATTAAAAAAAAATCTATTAAACAAATAATTACTGCTTCAAGATGTGAGTTTTCCATGAACATAATGAACTGGCATTCAGATTTCTTTGAAAAACCTGAAGACTTCTAAGTAGCGGCCATCTCCAAAGCCCGTAGGGTTACTGGAGTCATAAAAGTGCAAGGACCTTTGTTTTGGTTTGAGAACCTGTAAAAATGTAATTTCACGGAATAGCAAGACATAGTTAAGGACCGTATTCTCAAACAGTTGTACAGTAAGTTCCTTAAATTTCTGTGTGCAAATCACAACCATAGGGTACAAGTTATTTTATGACCATTAAAACATTGGAAATGTATTATGTACTCTGAATTCTACAAAATAAGCTCCATGGTCAAACCAGGATTACAATATTGCATGAATGTACTGTATCATAGTTATGGAATGCATGAAGAATACAAAACTTATAATAAACATAACTTCTTTCAAAAGCTCATTCATATTCAGCCAAGTACATATCAAATAGATTACTCACACATAGGGTCCAGTGTTCAGGCTGCCAGGCAGGAAGCAGCACAACATCCTTGTTCAAAAAATCACTCTGGGGAAACAAAAACGGCTTTACTATTAACTTGAAGGATATGTGGTGAAAGCTGCGATGCAAGTATTAATGCATCATTACTCACGATCATGTAATCCTGGGGTTTGTCAGAATAGGGTGGAAGCCAGGTTACCACAACATAAGCATCGACAGCCATGGTTGCAATGCCCTTTAAAACCAATGCGTAATGGCTTTTTACTCAACACTAACATACATATTTGTAATTGAAATTTACAGAAAAAATAAAAAAACTTACATGATCACTTGCAATGTTTGTGATTATTTTGAAACAGCAATTTGCTATCTATAAAGAAACAATAAGGACACTGTCACATACTGCAAGTACACACAAACAGAAATTTAAAAACCAACAAAAATGATAACATTTACCGATGCCTCAACGTTCCTCTGTAGGCCCAGGCTCCAAAAATCAGATCTTTGGAGGACCACGTGGTTGGCAAGAACAAAAGCCTCATATGGGTTGCCTTTTGTGTCCAATACATAGTCCAACTATGATGAAATACATTTAATTATATACAGGCATGCATAATAATGACATTTAGACAAATATTACTAATAACTTACTAATCCAGAGACACTCGCATGAAGTGTTTTTCTCCAACATGGCATGGCCTCAGTTGCTGAGACCAATTCTAGCCGCGATCCTAATTCCAAACCAGAGGGGAAATAACAATTTATACTGGATACAAAAACTAGTAAAATATAAACAGAAAAACAGCCCTTACGTTTTGTGGGTGGAGATGCATTGGCCTGAGCAGTCCCACTCGGTGTTGTTGAAGAGGAGAGAAAAAACTCTGCCTGTCCAAATTCATTGAGGGTGATTGGAATTTCAGGACTCACAAGATTTTTCAAGTCTTCCATGATGGCCTGGTTTCTTCGCCTATTATAGTGATGAATAATGTTGCGCATCATGAAGACATGTGTTGAAGGTGAATACATGTTCATGAAATAATTGTTTTTTTCATGACTGAGAAGAGCTGTTCCGCAACTTGACTGTTTATTCGTCCAGTGAGTTCGGGCACAAGTCCTATCCTACGGAGCACATCACTGGGGTCTTTGGTGTTTCTTTCGTGAAAGGTATCATAGAGGCAGTAGTGCTCTTGGGATCCTGTTAAAGGATGCCCATTTGGGTCTGGGAAGGTCTTTTTTGTCATTAGCCATGGTAAATTCACTGTGCCACCTCCGGAAGCCAACTGGATGTTAGTCGGGCTGGGGTCCAGTAGTCTCCCCTCATGGGGACTGAAAGGTAGGCTGACAGGCTCTCTTAAATTTGCATGTACTGCAAGACCTCTTGCAAAATCGTAGATACAAATATTCGGTAGGTGTTTCCATGAGAGTAGCAAGTCTGTGAAGTCCCGTGGACTTTCTGCCCTTATGTTAAATTTCAGAGATAAAACTTGTCCACAGGGGCACATAATAACAGCCCAGCCGCCTGGGGAAGAAATGTCAACTACATTAGAATAAAGCAAAAAAAAATAAAATAAATAATAATAATAATAATAATAATAATTACCCGATGCACCCCAAACCTTCTGAAAGATTTTGTCGTATTTACTTCGTGTAGCCATTTCGTGACGCAAACGCATTATCAGTTCCATTTTGGAACCTTTAGAGTCTATTTTGCACTCTTTGCAAAGTTTGCGGATGGCATGGACCTATCACGCAAAGTAGGAATACACTGTAAATATATCTTCATTTATTATGATTGGTTAAAAAAAACACTAACATGCAAATATGTTAACCTTCAAATTGGATATTTCATCCAAGAGCCTGTCTTCAGTTATTTCAATTCGGGCGTTCTGCTCTCCCAAAATTCCATCCGATGGGCGGGGGAGCGACTGAATTTTGCGTTGCATTATGGGTAACACTTGCCTTCGCAACTTCCGGTTCTCTCTGCCCGGCGCATTTTCTCTAAATGGTTGAGTGTTTTCGTCATTTTACATTATGCAAATACATTCCCGTCTCTAACTAGTGGCATATCGCGCAAATCATCCGTCCAATTCACATTCTTCCCTCTTAGCTGAACTTCATTCTCATTGTTACCATCTGTCACTCGCACACACAGCCGTTTTCGTTCACTCTGCTCGCTGTCATCTTCTTCTAAATCTTCATAAACACCATCCGCTCGTTGAACTAGCAACAACAATTCCTCCTTTCGTTTTCCCACACTGCAAATACCCTTTCGCTTCAACCTTTCACGCAATTCAGGCACTGTCAATTGCTTGTTGTTTTCGTGAGCCATATTCGCCATTGTATGAAATCAACCGGAAGTGAACTGGGCAACAAACGGTGTCATTTTTTGATCACAGCGCCGCTCAGTGGATGGAATTTTGGGAGAGCAGAACGCCCGAATTTCTGCGCATTCTTTTTGTGGTCTTGATGCATGAACTTTTTCAAACTCCGTATTGAGCACCATGTTTGACTTTCTTGTATGACGTCCAATCCACGGTGCCCAGCGGTGGTATGTGGGTGCAACTGCAAATGGATTTTGCCTGTCACCTGAAAGAAAAAAAACAAACGTTTGAACTCAGATAAGAGGAGCAGTAAGACTATAACAACAACAAAAAACAAATAAAAGACAATTGTTTTTCATCTTACAATATGAACATTGAATAAACATTTTATATCACCTACTTGTGACAAAACCACGCGCTATTCTCTCTAAAGATAAGGCGGTCCAGAACTCGTCAATGTCCACCTCTCCGTTATAGTCAATTGGTGGGTCCTCGAGTTCACTGACTACAAGTGTAAAAAAAACAAAACAAAAAACATAGGGGATCAATACAATTGATGATTCATTCTTCTGACACTTCATCTTTGGAATAATTCTGCCGACTACTGCCGTGTAAACAGAAACATGAAATTAGACATGGACTGTACCTGCCAAGCTAAAAACACAACTCTTATGCAGATCCATCACCACAACCGGTGGGTAATAACCACAACGAACACAGCAGAAATCATATTGATGGTCTGACAGGGCCTCAAAGTGGAGATATGCATGTATCACAGTGTTTTTATTAGGGAACTTCTGTTGTGAGGTCAGCTCCAATGTTTCGATTGCGCGACCTAAAGCTGTATGTGTCTGGATAAAAAAATAAAGAAAAAAAATAATATAATATAATATATATATATAGATATATATAAAAAAAAATTCACTCCTGGATATTACCTGGAGGCAATTTCGAAGGTATATGCAAAAATGGAGGGTCAAAATTATTCTGTCATTAAAATTGTGCACACCGTCTTCCCATTCTTGGTATCGAATAATCAGACCACATGAACTGCATTTTTTACAGTAAGTTGCCACACCTGTATAACAAAAAAAAAAGAAAAAAAGAAAAATCAGCTGATATGTACATGGTACATACTCTTATGCAGATATGTACATGGTACATATCAGCATAATACCATACACATAATGATACATGCCACTAACCTTCTATGACTCCCTTGACCGTTATTATCTTTGCAGCTTGCGTTATGATTATGGGCTCACCAAGAGGAATATTGCCCGGGCATTCAGGGCAAACCTCTTCCTTAGGGATCAAGTGTTTTTGGTAGGTCAGCCTCACTTGACAGGCCAGAAAAGTATGACGGCAATTCCCCAGGAAGCTTTTTGTTTATATGTATATAGGTTACAGTTCTTCTCAGGTCCTCGCCTTGTGGAGGGTACTTGCAGGGGTCCTCTTGTATTTTGTTGTACTCCAATTCTGGCTCTTCATCAGGTACATCGCTGTCATCAATGTCATCATCACCATTAGTTAGGAAATGCTCCTTCATAGTTTGGAACAGGTGCCATCTGGCAATGCACTTGTGAATACAAGCTTGTTTCCTCGCAGCACAATGGCAATGCCAAGTGTTTTTCACTGTGTCCAGCATGACCATTACTCTGCCAACGTTATTGCAATATGTGAGTTGTGGCTCATAGACCGATACAAATTTTTTCATGATCGAGCTTCCCACTTTGACCTCAATACTGAATGGGGTGCCTTTCTCTCTTGCTGCTTGTTGTCTAAGGAGACACAATCTCTTTTTTTCTTCACTAAACCACCTGCTGCTGACAATTTCACCCAGGATATCCCCTTTGAGCTCAATATTGGAGGGGGAGGAAGGTGGACAATATTTTAAGGACTGTATATGAACACAGTCATACTGTACGACCCAAACCCACTTCTACGCATAACTTCGGCTTTAAGATGACAGGAATCTAAAGGGCACTGAATTAGGTGATTCATGCCGGAGGTTTTCTTTTGGACATGAATGGGCGCACTGTTGCTGTTAAATGACTTCTTAACTGCATAAATGCCCATGTCAATGTCCAGACATTCACAGGCTAGATAACGATCAACACTGATATCCTCTTTAACAATGGGGTGTTGGCGCCTCATATGTTCTTTTAAGTTCTTCTTATTCAATTCAAGATGACATATGGTGCACTGCACTCGTCTCACATTAGAAGAACTGCTAGCTCTGGGCAGCGGCAGGGAGGCAAGAAGAGGCTGACTCTGGGGCAGCGGCCGGCTCTGGCAGGTGCCTAGATGCTTGATTATAGCCTTCCTCCTTGGATAAATCCTTCCACACTCACAACAGTGGTAGTGACTGTCACTTCTGCAGTCCAAGTTACAAGTGAACATCACATACTCTAAAATGAAAACACAAAGAAAATAAATACAGATACATGATGAGGAAAAGGAGATAAGTGCCATTGAAAAACATTCAAGATATGCTTGGAATTTTAAGTGAAATATTTCAGAATAAGAATAGGTTTTATTGCCATTGTTTGAGAACGAATTCACAAATCAGGAATTTAACACAGAATAGGTAAAAGAATGAGCTATAAAATAATATGTCTATATTAAGGGCATGCATTAATAAATTAAAAAATTTATATATATAAAAATTTGACGAGATGTACGTGTGGGCAGACCACAGAGTGCAATAAAGTAACGTAGTGCAAATGTCCTTCATGAGTCTGTAACTAAGCTATTGGGTCTTGTTATTGTTATTATATCGTATTTTAGTGCAGTACAGAAATTAAGTCACTTGACAAAATGGAGCAAACCTACTGCAGCTAATATTTGTAATGTGCGAGTTGTTAGGAGGCATGCATAATGTTAGAAAAGTAGGCTAATTAGTTGCTAATAATTTGTTGACATTACTGGCAAAATTGACTGCCATTAATTACTCTTCTATCTATCCAACCAACCAACGAGGAGGCTCATTGCAACCAACCAAAAGAAAGCATACCTCCGTGATGTACCGCTGTCTTCAGATGGCTTTGTATATGAGCCTCCACTCGAGGATAATCACCTGTGTAACGTGGACATAAGGGACAGTGCAGTAACGAGCACTTCGAATCGCTGCACGTTACTGCTTGTGGCCTTTGTCCACTGGACAGTATCGATAGATGAACCTAGTCAAAAGAAAAGAACCAAATCATTTTCAATCAGATTGCCAACCACTAACAAACGTCATAAACTTTTAGCATTTACTTTTTGTGGTAGTAACTACAGGTTAAATTTGAACACGTCACGCGTTATTATAAAACGGTAAAAGGACAAAACGTATAGCACTTTTCTATACGTTTAGGCAGCAAAAAAAAAAAAAACACGCTTCGCTGCAAGCTCATCTACCGATAGCATTGTTAGCAACTTTTACTATTTCTTTCAAGCCATGAAGTTAACTGCGTAGCAAGCTACCGATGAAATGACACGGGCATTTAAAATTGAGGCTTCATAATCCGTTACCATTCAGACGAGCACAAATTCACAATACGTACGGCCATATCGCGCTGGAAGCTGGTGCATCTCACGTGCATCCACAAGGCGCACGGACATCTATCTGCGCGGTTCTTTTACTTTCGCTGATGTTAAGCAGCGGAAATGACATCTTAACACAGCGTACCACGCAAGCGTTCTCTGATTGGTTGGTGAAACATTGCATGGGGCGTTCTGGTAATCAAACAGGAACGCCTCTGCCGCAGCTCGAGCCTCCTCGAGGAAACAGCAACAGGCCTAAAGCAGGCCTTTTTTCTTCTTTTACCAGACTGAGAATAAAGTTATAAAATGTTGACTTAAAAGTCGAAATATTATGATAATAAAGTCGAACTAGCAAAATGATGAGATTAATCTAAAAATATGATGAGATTAATCTCAAAATGTTATGAGCTTAATTTAAAAATATATTATGTATTATTTTAAAGATGAATCTCAAAATGTTTTGAGATTAATCTCAAAATATTTTGGACCCTGGGAGGAGATCCAGCGCGGACCAGCGCTGAGACCAATGCAGACCCGAGGAGAGACTGGAGTGACCAGCACACAGAAACCAGCGCGGACCTATAGGAGAGACCGCCAAGACTGGAGTGACCTGACTGGAGAGACCGGTGCGCAGAGACCAGCGCGGACCGAAGAGAGACCGCATAGACCAGACTTGAGAGACCAGCGCGGACCCGTATGGATCCAGGAGCATGAAGCACGGACCCGTATGGAGAGAGACCAGTGCAGACCCGTATATGGGAGAGACCAGTGCAGACCCGTCTAGATCCATGGGAGAGACCAGTGCAGACCCGTCTAGATCCATGGGAGAGACCAGTGCAGACCAGTATATGGGAGAGACCAGTGCAGACCCGTATAGATCCATGGGAGAGACCAGTGCAGACCTGTCTAGATCCATGGGAGAGACCAGCGCAGACCCGTATAGATCCATAGGAGAGACCAGTGCAGACCCGTATATGGGAGAGACCAGTGCAGACCCGTATAGATCCATGGGAGAGACCAGTGCAGACCTGTCTAGATCCATGGGAGAGACCAGCGCAGACCCGTATAGATCCATAGGAGAGACCAGTGCAGACCCGTATATGGGAGAGACCAGTGCAGACCCGTATAGATCCATAGGAGAGACCAGTGCAGAGACTCAGCGCGGACCCAGTAACCTCCTGCAGCAGCAGTATATATGCCGTTGTTCTGTGGCCCGTGGATAAAGAAATGCCCCCAATAAATAGGAAGGGGTCACTAATACACGGCAAGATTTCCAATGTATTTGATAAAGCGTTGGCACATTTCATTTCAAAATGAATTAAAAAGTAGGCCAGATCTGCAGTGAAAAAGGCGGTATATAAATAAAGATTACTAATAAAGATTACTACAAATAAATAAATACATACATCGATATGACGGACATATCACTGGAATGTTGTATTTTTATTCAACTTCACCAAAGAGGACAACCCCGGCGTGTGAACATGTCGGCACTGACTGAATGCGTACGAGTGCTCCTGAGGACTCGTAGGATTTGTACTTGCCCAAGAGAAATTCTGGTTACGAGAAATATTCGTGAATGCCACTTTCTTCGTAAAAACCGCGTAAGTAGGATTTACGTACAAATCTGTTCCTAAGAACCGTTCGTGAATGAGGCCCAGTGTTTTTTGTTATTGTTGTGGTACATGATCTACACTTTTTCATTGTGTGCTTGAAATAAACTAAACTGAACATATTATGCACGACAGGAGCTTTCCATTGCAGTAGCTGCAGACTCCAGTGCGACATGGACCTCGTCTGCCAGAGAGGAAACACTGCTCTGTTTCCAGTCTTTAGCTGTAATGATGTAAATAAATAATCTGTGGTCTTGGCCATATACCAAGGTAGAATGATTGTGTTAAATGCAATCGTTCCACTGTGGAAATTGAAAAAAATAAAAAAAATCACTCTCCTCTTCTTGAAAAACACACCACATGGAAAGTACAGCACTGTGTTAATTACGGTAACGATTTTTGACAATACCCCGCCCGGGGCAGGTATGGATGAATGACGGTTAATGCGAACAAACTTAATATAGGAAGGAGGTGCCCATAAATAACCTTGTTTACTGGACACATACATAAAGCAGAGCGTGTTAGGAACAGAGATTAACCTTCACCCAGGCTCCGTTATGATCTGCACCTCAGCCTGTTCTGACCACAGAGAAATGGTCACGGACAGACGCTGTAGGACATTATGTTTCTGCTTCCTCTCGGCTTCAAAGACTTTCATGACACCGTATGGCTTAGATTTCTTTGATAGATTGGGAATCGATGAGTATAGTTCGGTTGCCTACGGTTGACCGCTCATTTTAACGAAAACTTTGAACAGGCGGTAACAAGGAGCTGTGAGTGCAAGGTCCTCGAAATGTTTATCTCAAAAAAATTGTACAGAACACAAAAATAGAAGAGGCAGGATTGCAAACCCCCTTTGCTCACTCAACACAGAGATAGACAATTTGAAACAAATATCTAAAAGAATACAAATTCAATCCAGCAGAACCATAACACAATACGCATTGTACTGTAGAATACAAGACACACACACACACACACACACACACACACACACACATACACAGGCCAATATCTCTCCAACCCTTCTCCCCCACTACTCGCTCAAAAATAGGGAGATGACAAGAGATTTTATAATTTGGTAGCATAACAAGTCAGATAACTCACTCTTTTCATCCCCCTTTCTTCCAAACGGGTAGAACTAATTAACAAAGAAACAAACCAAACAGCAAACATGAATAGCTAAGTGTCAGGAAAGCTGTAGTCAAACGGTGCGAGGTTTGAAGCTAATTCACATGCGCTTTTCTCACTGCTGTGAAGCGGTTCGCAGCTCTGTGACTTAAACTAAACAATAGCCAAGCATTTTGTCCTGCAGGACTGACCTGGACAGGGACATGTTGTCTGCATGTTCAGTTGAGGTCAAGGGCTTCATACTGTAGGTCCCTGCAACTTAAGTGTTTGAGAAAAACAAGCTTAGCATTTGCAACTGTGGAACTTCTTTGTGCAAAGACTGAAAAAGAATCTGAACAAAAATGTAATAATGGGGTTATTACCTTCTTTCATAAGCATGATTGTGCTTTTTAAAAATCAATGCTGCAAAACCGTCCTGCTTTTTATCTTTAGAAATGTAATAATAGCCGTGAGGTTTCAAAGATTTGGTGTTTTACTGTTTGCTTTTCTTCAGGAAAGATCACATGCTCACTCCACATCAGTTTTCTGCTTCAAAGGCACATAGAAATCCCTGCAATACATTTACCTCTGAGGAAATATAATTTACAGCTAAACACATTTAGACCTAGGGGAAAGTGCTCCCACCATGGCTCCAGTATCCAACAACACCTCCAAACAAACCATATCATCCATCCAGTCCTGTCCATGCATATGTACTATGTACCGTATGTATGTATGTATGTATGCATGTACTGTATGTATGTATGCATGTACTGTATGTATGTATGTAGATAGATAGATAAATGCTTTATTGTCAGATACAAGGATCCGAAATTTGTTTTGCAGTTCAGCAGCTCCGTAAAAATACAAACAAGACATACAGGTATAAGACAATTCACAAAGACATTATAAACAATTGTCCGCTCGCCATAACACACTTTGATTTTATGACTTAAGATCCTCGTTTAGCTTCAGGATGGACTGATGGACAAAGGAGTTCCTCAACCTGACTTTATTAAAATGTGGCACACGGTACCGCCGCCCTGATGGTAACAGCGCATATTCGAGGTTCAGAACATGGCCGGGGTCATACAGTGATGTATGTTTGTATGTATGGGATATGTGCTACCGACTGAGCCACTTCAATAATTAATGAGGTCCTTGAATAGCATTTGATTGAAAAATGTGCTTTGTAATAAAATGTACGCCTTGGAGAAGGATTTTGAGCACACAAAAATCATAATTGAGGATTGACCGACTGTGGCCTGGCAGTAATCTTGATGGCTTTATACACAAACCATTGAAGCGAGGGTGCAGGGGAGTACAGGAGAGAGAGGACTATAATAAAGATGCATGTGCCTGATTTTGGACTTTAGTACAGAGCCAGCGCCGTCCAGACTGACGCTCAGCTCGTCATGCGGCTCACATCAACAAAGCACTTTAATAGCGCCTGGATACATGGAAAAAACATCAGATTGGCCCAGTCTGGGAAAGGGTGTTTTTTAAAACTGGGTAACAGACATAGCAGACAAAAAATGTAACTATGTAATACAATCCATCCAACCAGTTTGTCGCTAGCACATCCTTAGATCAGCTTTTCCAGACAAAAAAGTGAAAAAGAGAGAAACACCAAAAGTTATGACTCTCTTGGCCGACCTAGTGAGATGCATTGTATTATATTAAGATAAAAACACCATGTTGTGATCTGATTTAAGAGAACAATTAAATGTACAAATCTAGAAGAACAACAACGGCATCCTTGGTGTTTTAAGAGACACATTCAATTTCTGTCCATTATGTAGCTGTCGGTCTCTGCTGCGGTGTGCTGTGAAGCGCTCAATAGGGGCACATTTTATATTATTGCATATTAATGGGCTAAAGGGCTGCTGCTCTGGGGTTTGGTTTAGCAGAAGTCATCAATATACACGGTCACTAATCTGTTTGTGGTGAAGGAGGTTTTGCTACATCCTATAAATGCAGGTTGAGTTCAAACAGTTCTATTGACAGCTGCAGGAACGGGCAGGCGATTGGCATATGGGATAAACAAAGGTGCACACTGGGGTGGGAGTCTTGCATAGTTTTCCCAAAGTGGTTTTACTGCAAAAGGCAAATCTCGCCAAATCTTGAAAATATAGAAAAAAGTATAAAAACCCTAAATATGGGAGCTGAAATCAACAGAAAGGGCCATATTAAGGCTGAACTTAAGAGTGAGCAATGGCAAAAAGTACATGATGTTCCAGGAATAGAATAAACAAGAACCAAGTTGCCATTTTGTTTATGGATAATTAGCAGTCAGTCTAAGTTACCCGAAGGGCAGCTGGTTTAGTTTTCTGTGT